TAATTCTAGCTGTCATTCCGTTTGTGCACAGAGGCCAACTGAAAGTCCCAGAGAGAATGTTTGCTCTCAAAGTTCAGACTAACATTTTATTTGACTATTTCCAGACAGACCTGCATGGAAGACCCCAGGATGTTGGCCTCTGCTTGGACAGCCAAAACAAACACCAAGCAAGCCGACTGAAAATACACTCCGCACAAACAGACGCCCACGGCTCATGTGTTCTGAGTTCATGTTGCCATTCCTCGTATAATTCAACATTTTTTGAGTAAGTAAATTTTGCACTTGGGTTTAAACTGCCAGGTTTTGAGGTCTTGAAAACTATTGTCATGCATTCACAAGTAACTGGTGTACAGACAGATATTTGGGAACCTGAAAGATTTTAGTAGAAGTAACACGACAAAACCATTCACTATGCTAAGCATGGACATAGTAAATTATTTGTGTCATCAAATACTAGTTCCTCACTCCCAACATTCTTGGTGTGAATAATATAACCTACCCTGCAAATGGCTGAACTGCCGAATCTCATTTGCTTTTGAGAGACAACAACAAACCTTTTCCCTTGTTTCACATGCTCAAGACTACATTTCAAAGATCTCCCATTAAAGAACCTGGCTGTGAGAGCAGGCCTGGTTACATAAGGTTAGTAATAAGCCCCCACACAGAAAGAATCACAGTTACTGTATATTAGCGTCATTAGAGCAATGGTTGTACAGTGGATGGTTTCAGAGCAGAAGATATTGGCTTGATTGGCCCATCATTAGTTTGCACGCTATCCAGGGAACACCAGGTTAAGCTTATTATCACTCAGAACCAAGAGGTTCTTAAGCAACAATAGCAGCGTTGCTACAGGATGGCAATGTGTGTTGGTTGGTTGGTTGGTCTGTCAGTCAACTATATTTGTCTAAACTAAAATATCTCAAGAACTGTTACACTGCCATGGAAGAATCCAAATTACTTTTATGATCCTGACTTTTCTTTTAGCGCCACAAACCTTTTTGGCTTTTAGTGATATGTCTCAACAACTACTGGATGGATTGCCATGAAATTTGGTGTCCATTACCCTTTTTCCATAGGCATCATTGGCAGTGCTAAGTAAAGCCATGCTGCGCCGATTTTTGTTTCTATTGTCAGTTTAGACAAGCCATACCATGCCAAGCCACGCTGGAAATGGACCTCAGGAGTAGGTCCAAAAGCCGGGCCGCCCGCTCTCAAGCAGGTGCCAGTGACATCTTGCCGACCACAGCCAACCCCTGACGACCACAAATCCGGCCACACTGGGCTGATGGCCCAAACCAAACCAAACCAAACCAAGCCAAGCTTTAGAGAGTTTAGAGATCCCTTAACTTTCATCCAGCACAACCAGTAAGTAAAACTTTTTCACTGAAACTAAAATATGTCAGCATCTACTTGATGGATTGCCATGAAAGTCTGCACGGACATACATGAGGCCCAGATGATGAATCTTACTTTCGTGATCCCCTGACTTTTCCTGTAGCACCACCAGTGAGGTTGACATTTTGATTCTGTGTATAATGTCACAAACTATCGGTGCATTGCTATAAAAAATGGCACATGCATTTATGCCTGCCTTCGATGATTTGTAATAACCTCAGTGGTCCCTTTATTTTTCATCTAGCACCATCATCAGGTCAGAATTTCTTTTTATTTCCTACTTTGGATAATAACAAAATACCTGCAAGACTAGTGGCATTCCAATCAACCTCAGCTGCATGTTGCGTTTTGAGCTTTTAGTGTGCTAACATGCTAAACTGAGCATGGGAAGTAGGCCATAATATTTTATAAACATCAGGGTCTTAGCATTTTCATTTTGAGAGCTCATGTTAGCATTTAGCTCAAAGCACCACTCTACACATGTGCAGCCTAGCAGAGCCTTTAGTGTGGCTGTGGTCCTGTTACGCCTCAAATCTGAAATAAATGTGCCAATTTTAGCACAGAGAAATATGCAAAACACAAATGTATCTTAGAACCTTGCAGCCACTGCATATTGGATTTAAAGACAGGCTGCTATATATGCAGTTTTTCGTCTAAGTGTAAATGTTATGCCACAAAAGGAAAATGCGTATTCCTCTACAGAGGTCTGTTTCAGCTGCCACGTCATTGTTTTTGGTTTCCCTCCTCGGTTTGGCATTTAATGCCTGTTTCATACAGATGAATGCATGTCATGTGCATTAATGTTGACGTATGATAAAGATGATCTGACAGTACTGCAGCATTCATATGAAACAAAGAATCAGATTGTACCAGAGCACATAAGAAAACAAGTCAGAGTCGCTGACCTTAGCAGACATCGTGTGTCTTTTTTGCCTGTCATACAGTCAGGCAGTAATATGATTACATGACAAACTGTGGCACATGATCTGACCTGCTTAAATTGCATCTGTAATTATGAAATTAAGTGGCGTATGGATTTTATTCTGGTACCCAAACTGAAAAACCTCATTTTCTGTGTGCGTTTGAGACTCAAGTCTCAGTTAACCTCCCTCTTTCTTTTCCTGTCACACAAACACACACACACACACACACACACACAGTCGCCCATAGTAAATACAATGGGCCTCTGTATGAAACATTTGGGGCACATACTAAAATGGATTGAGGTCAAGTCAGTCTGTGAGTAGCAACATTATTTTTTCCCAGCGTCTAAAGTAATCATATCAGGCGTGTCAAAAATGCGTAGGGACTGTTTTCAGGCTGCAACACTGTGACCCCTCTTTTAAAAACTTTTCCTTCTAAGTCCAGTAGTGTTACATAAGATATTTCCATAGGAGAGGTTAGTGCGTAGATATTTGTACCACCTAGACCATTGAACGCATGGAAATTTGATAGTATTTCCGCAAATGGGCCGTGTCCTTGTAGCACAACTCTGCTTGGGGAACAACAAGGAAGCGGTAGATACAGGAGACACTTACTGCATGATGCTGTAAGTGTGATCTGGTGACTTAGAGGATAGGATAATAAAATTAGTTTCGGGTGTGGGAACGTCTGGGCGTACAGGTCTTTGTTAACCTGTACTGTAAATGATGAAGACAATTCATTATGCAGCTTTAGGCCAAAAAAAAATGCCTAATGCAACAAACGCGGTTGGTTTAACCAGCAACGTGAATATAATTCAATTTCTGGTAAATCGTTACCTACTGTACATACGGTTCCATACAATCCATGTGAAATTTGGCACAGTGGTAGAGGGTCATGGGAGGATGCCAATGAAGCAATATTACATCAATTGGCCAAAGGGGGGCGCTATAGCAACCGATTGAAATTGCAAACTTTGAATGGGCATATCTCATGCCCCGTATGTCGTAGAGACATGAAACTTTGCACAGAGATGCCTCTCCTCGTGAGGAACAAATTTCCCTCAAGAACCCATAACTTCCGGTTATATAGATTTTCCGCCATTTTGAATTTTTTGAAAAACACTTCAAATCGATCTCTTCCTAGGAAGTTTGAGCGATCTGCATGAAACTGGGTGAACATAATCTAGGGACCAATATCTTAAATTCCCTCTTGGCAAAAGTTGGAAAACTTACTAAAACTGAGCTTCTATAAGGCAATGACTTTAACTATCTGCCTTTCAACGTGCCACCTCAACTACTAATGTACAGTTTTAGCCCACTAACTATCCCACTAGTGGCAATGGTACAACTGTACTTTCAATAAAGCAATCGCACTATCAAATTCACAAAAACTCTGTCTGAATACATTGCTCTTCTTAATGGGTTCAGTTGACTATTTAATCTGCAATTTCCTATGACCTGTATCCCAAACACACACCATGTGAAACTGTACGTGGGCAACTGTGCACTCAATGGGTATGGACTAGTGTTATTGCATTATACACTTGATGAAATATATATTAGTATGATTTTTCACCAGATGTTTTCACAGCACTGTAGCTAAATGTCTAGAACAAATACATGCAGATAATTCTAGCACTGGTGACACTACTAATTCCATGGTAACAAACTGATGTGGATAAAATAACATTAAAAAAAACATGGATTTTTATTATTATTGCCCCAAAGTAATAAAAAAGATAAAAATCCAATTGCCTCTTTGTTAGTGTGGACATTCAAGGTTTTAAAGGGATAGTGCACCCAAAAATGAAAATTCAGCCATTATCTACTCACCCATATGCCGATGGAGGCTCAGGTGAAGTTTTAGAGTCCTCACATCCCTTGCGGAGATCCAAGGGGAGAGGGGGTAGCAACACAACTCCACCTAATGGAGGCTGACGGCGCCCCAGATTCAAACGTCCAAAAACACATAATTGAAACCACAAAATATCTCCATACTGCTCGTCCGGAGTTCAAATGACGTTTTTTGAAACAACTTTTTATGTCCAGGCTTCAGGACACTTGGATCACTACGGACGAGCAGTATGGTGATATATCGTGGTTTCAGTTATGTGTTTTTGGATGTTTGAATCTGGGGCGCTGTCAGCCTCCATTAGGTGGAGTTGTGTTGCTACCTCCTCTCCCCTTGGATCTCCGCAAGTGTTGTGAGGACTCTAAAACTTCACCTGAGTCTCCACTGGCATATGGGTGAGTAGATAATGGCTGAATTTTAATTTTTGGGTGCACTATCCCTTTAAAGTGGTTAAGAGGGCTACTGAGCACTGAGTTATTTACATATGTGGCTACTCAGTATTTAAGTAGATTTCACAACTATGCAGTGTGTAGTTAGGGTCACTGTACTGTGTGCACTGTGTGCCTAATTTAGGACTCATATTCTAGTGTAACCTGCCTAAACAAAGTCAGAAGTCTGTCACGTTTCCCATCTCTTTGTCTCTTAAATCAGCCGCACTCACTCACTCTGTCCCTCCACAGCCTCATTGATGATCTCTGCCCTTCAAAATAAAAGCGCTATCACGTGAAGGAGTAGTGATGGGGCGGGCCTACGGGGCGCCTCAGCCAATCAGCGCCTCTGTTTTGCGGCTTCCCATTCGCGGATAAACATTGCGACCTAACCCACAGGACTCTCAGTGGGGCAAGGCACGTCAACGTGACTGAGGCCGAGCTACATCCACTGTCGTTGCCACAACTGCATTATCGAAATTATCCCCGACGTTAGACATGCACGTTACGGTGAAATATCACCCCATTTCACAAGGAGGAGACGCCAACTTCTCGCCGTAACATCGACAACCAGCACCGGAAACCCGTTAGCTGTGCTAGCTACCGCGAGCTAGCTAAGTTAGCTGTTACATACCCTCGTTTATTTCCTCCACGCAGCTGACCTCCACCACAACACAGCCGTACTGGGTATCATTTGCTCGCTAGGTTGGGGTCGTTACTCTCCCGTGTCCTCACGTTAGCCCCCCCGTTGTCCCCGCGTGGTGCCCCGTGGACGGTTCCCGAATATGATCCATAATGAGTCAGAGAGACACCTTGGTTCATCTGTTTGCTGGAGGGTGAGTAACATGTCAGCAACATGCGAGAACTCAGCTAGCTAGCTTCATGCTTCAAGCTAGCTGGCGTTGCTAACCAACATAGCATCACATCATGAGAATTTACTCCACTGTAGTCATGATATTAGTTTAGTTAGTGGTGTAATGTGAACCTGACGAGTCGTGTTTGCATCAGCGTGCCAGATGTCAGCTAACTAATCTTGTCCATGCATGTGCACCCGTAGGAGTAAAGCTCAATGTCACAAGTTACAATGACATTTCAATGTATGAATGAATTGGATGGTTTGCAGACGTATATTCTCCTGTGACTCCTCATGACATTGTAATGAAACATGTAAGCTTATAATCAGCTGCATGCACGCAACATTTCAAGAAGCAGCTGGGGTTAAAAGTGAGCGTACTTTCAGTGTCATCTGTCTGTCGGCCGTAATGTCAGTGCATCAAAACAAACGTGGGCAGGCTGCCACTGTAAAGGTCACTCAGAAAATAGTGTTTGGAAAACCACGGTAGGACATGAATGCTCGGTTGTGACTAATGTAAACTGTGTCACGGTGCGGTGCGGTCACAGTGATCTGCCAAAGCTGGGTGATAAAAGCATGCATTTTGTGCAAGCCTAAATTAAGTCTGAAACTGCTCTGGAGAGGCTGTGACTGCATACAGCCTCAGAAACTGGGTGAAACAGCATAAACTGTGTGCTTTGACAGACCCGTAATAAAATTTAATGTTGTGGTATCATTCTGTCTTGCCTCCAGCAGACACACAATTTACTATAATTGTTTTCTTTCAAGGCTAGTGAGGAGTTCCCTTTTAATACATGCTGTTCTCTTAGAGCATTTTTTATTTTTAGCATTTAGCATTTATTTTTAGATTAAGAACGCTAGCAAAATAAAGTAGGCTTCTTGTAGGCTATTGTTTTGCATGCACCCTTCGAAGATAGTCGTCTTTTTTGCATATCACGCTTTAACAGTTGACACCTGATGTATCTCCTCATCTAGCCACACTCTTCCTGCGGCAACGTCCTGCTTTCTCTGTTGTTTGTACGGCAGCTGGCTGCCCAACACTGATCAATCTACCTTCGCCAAAAACTATGCTGACAAGACTTTCTATTTCTGCTTTGGTGCCGATTGAAAATTAACCCCAACTAAAGATTACTGCCGTCACTCCCGCTTTTGATGTCCTCCAGTTTGGCCCCGCCTTGTCCAGTCCAGTCTTGTTTATTTATGTAGTCCACGTAGATATTGTTATTGCGGTCTGTCTTATCAGTCGTATTTGTATTTGATGTCTGAGCAGATTACTTGCCTGAAATGCCTGAGCTGGCCATAAACTGATGCCCTGGATGTAGCACGTTATTTGCAAAAGGCATCATGTCTTCAGACCCAGGCTTGTGGTTTTGTGAATTTGCAGATGTGAAAACTTTCAATGATTTATTTGTTTTACAATTCACTGTGGTGTCAAGTGTGGATTTTGATTAACGGGACACGAAATGAGAAACATAAACAATTTTTCTGTCAATTGTATTGCTGTAAAGCTAGGCCCTACTTTCAAAAGTTATTCGCAACTGTTATATGAGTCCTATTTGTTTCACTCTTATATAAATATATATTTGTGATTTTGGAATGTGGTGTGGCGCTCAACAGAAGCTTGTTGTTACTTCCCAAGAAACACAAAGCATTCCTGACTAACTCTCTGTTCCCACACTTTGCCATTTCTTGTCTACGTGCCAGGCATCTTTAAAATTCCACCAGCCACATCACTGGCTAATTTATTTATGCAAGAACATTAACACTTTTCACACCTATGACCATCCTGACTGTTGGTGACGTCAGAAAAGGACACTGAGTGTCAGTCTTGCTCTGTCAGCTGAGACTTGTTTGCTATGTCACCTCCACCTTTTCCATCTCTGTCTCTCTGCCAGATGTGGGGGCACGGTAGGAGCCATATTGACTTGTCCACTGGAAGTAGTGAAGACTCGTCTTCAGTCATCCTCCATCACCCTCTATGTGTCTGAGGTTCAGCTCAGTACTGTCAACGGCGCCAGTGTGGCCCGCATGTCCCCGCCAGGCCCCCTGCACTGTCTCAAGTAGGTATTCAACATTTATCACATGTCGGACTGCCATTTCTACAATTATTCTCGTAGACTCCTCATCAGTCTGCTAATATTGATACTCTTATAGGTTCTTTCTTTTATTACTAACAAAAAATAGTATATATAAAATAATGTTTCTAGAGCAGCAACAGCAAAGTCACTACATAAACTATATCTTCTAGGAAACAGAAGAGTGTAGTACTCTCTCATCCATGATTTGGGGGTGGGGGTCACCATCTCAGCCAGAAAGTCTACAAGATATTGCTTAATTTTACATGGCAAATTAGGCCAGACATTTGGGCTTCTTATAGGGTTTGACGATAAATAGATTATACTCAGTGCAGCACGGCTTGTTTCACATGGGATGTATAGCACTACTATATCCGGAACATACTATTATATATTGTCATTCCACTGGTATGAAACTCTCTCTTCAGCACTCTGGTTCTCCCATTCTCCTATGATGCTCCTCCGCCCACCCAGACCACTCTCTCCTGGACTAAAGTGTGTGAGCAGGCAAGGCCTGTTTTGTAACTGCAGGCCTCCAGGCCGCGACCATTTAGTCGCATTTTGTAACCATGGAGCACCAGTGCAACTTGCACAAATTATTAATATCTTAACCGTTGCGCTGTTAGATTTTTCCTAGTCACAGTGAATAAATCTGCATGTTTAATTGCGCTGCAGCAACAGTTTGACTTTTAACAGGGTTAACATTAGTGTGAGCAGGGCTCCAGACGGCAACTATTTAGTCACATTTTGCGACAATGGAGCACTAAATTATTAATATCTTAACTGGAGAGCTGTTTGTCTTTTTCCAGCTTACAGTAAATAAATCCTTATGCTTAATAGGATTGGGTCGGTATGAGAAAAAAACGGTCCGGTTTTTGTAAAAAAAAAACAAAACAGCATCAAGTCGGTAATACCAGATTTTCGCCACTTGGGGGCACAATTGACTAATTTAAAATAAAAAACGACCTTAGGACAACGGAGTGACAGTAACAAGTTGTTTCTTTTATTCCTTACAAATAAATTTTGCAGCTTACTCAATCAGTGCAAACAAGGGTTGCCTCCTTCGTCTGGCTCAAAGCCAAAGTGTTGCCATAGTGGCGCATTCTTTGATTTCTTGGAGATTAAATTGTCTGCTCCCCGTCACTATTAAACAAACTCCAGGCTATAGTAGAGGCCTCGGCGCATGCACACTCGAACCCCCTAGCTCAGTCCCTACCCCACTCCCCTCTCTCTCCTGCTCGCTGTGCGATTGGCGAAGAGGCAGACACAGGTGCTCACAGACTCGGGCGTACTATAAGCGGAGCGGACTCCGTGTAAAAATGTCCATGAAAAATCCCTGCGATGTGAAAAATACATTCCGAACAGTCTTTTGTGTGACACTGGTGCGTGGAGTGGAGTCCGCACGGTCGTGCTTTGTGCGCACAGGGCTTGCGGACGTCCACTTTTACCGGGCGGAGGTCTGCCCGGGTATGCGGTCCGGTCGGTCTCAAAAAAAAAAAATGGTCCAAGACGGAGTAACGAACCGAATTGGTATTACCGAGAACCAACCCAACCCTAATGCTTAATGATGCCATGGTAACGGTTTGACTTTATGCTAACTGCTAAAAACAACTGTTGACCAGAAGCTTCAAGTTCACAGCAAAAACATCAACACTTGTGGCCTGAGAGAAGTGGGGGGCTTCAGAATAAAAGCACTTCATTTAACTTTATCATTATAGCACTTTATATAACTTTATTACATGACCATGACTGTAGTTTATTTAGTGGTTTAGTATTTTAGTAGTCTACGGTAGACAGTAGGGGAGAAGTCAAAACCACAAGATATATATCGTGTGTTGGGATACAGCCAGAAAATATTGCGATATTATTTATCAGCCGTATTGCCCAGTCCTAGCTTCATATTATCAGCCCTCAGACAGAATAGAAAGGCTGCACTGGTGACCATAAATGACACTAAATCCATATTTAACTGTCCGTTAATGTCAGTTGTGGGTTTTTTCAAGTACAAAGAAAAGTACTGGCCATGAAAAAATAATTTAGTACCATTTCCTATATGGAACGAGGTTTCGGCAGACATCTCTACTTAGATCTAGTATTTTGTTGACATGATACACAATATCGCCTAAACTTGCACTTCAGTAAACACTGATTGTGTAGCTCATGGTTCCTCCTCCCTGCTCTCACAGAGAGGTTGCCCTGCAGAGCCATGGTTCCTTTCTCGGAAGGCACCATGTTGTTGCTGTTGTTTGGTCTGGCTGACATCCCCCTGGCACGGCCAACCACTCCCTGAAACCCAACTCCTCACCCTTTGGGAAAACAAGAGCACACACATCAGTCACTTGAGCCAAACAGGAAATTTCATTACAAATCCAGCCATTATTGCGTCTTTATCTTGTTAGATTTTTATATATTTTTGATTCCTCAAGGCTCAAGAGAGTCGAGTGTCTCTTTGATTTGGCTCGATGTCCAGTTGTGATGCTGAAGAGAAATAAGAGCTGCTCCACAAGAAAGAGAATGGCCAGCTCTCCTCTAAAAAGGTCACATCCTGACTGCTCTTAGCCTTTGGAAAGATTGTGTTTGATGGCTCCATGCCATCTCTGAAATTCACAGAGCTAAGTCGCAATTAAATTAACTGCCAGTCACTGTAGCAGTTTGTTCTGAAGGCCGACAGTATTATCCTAACTAAATGCATTTTGGTACATTTTCAAACTGCTGTTGAATAAAGTGCTGCTATCAAATGCGAGAAGGCCCACCGGCAATTTAAGGTCTTTTCATTCAGTGGCGTCATCACTGGATTAAATATCTTGCAAGGAACGGGGGTGGCAGATGTATCTGGTGCTCTTTTCCAAACCGAAATTTGTGTTATAACTAAAGTAGACTGAAGAAAAAGTAGCTTGCAGCCACCATCAGTTGGAAATTAGCACCAGTCACTTGCTAAATGCAGGTGAAATATGCAATGGGCTGCTAGATTTGCTTTATTCACCAGCCAACAAAAGCAATGGTAATCTACTGAGTGGCTGGTATGTTTTGGAATCCACCAACCACAGTGGCAGGTAGTCAGAAAGTTAATTTCCAACCCTGCTCACCACCAGTCACATGACATTGTTGACATGTTGCAGGCCTTGTTGGATAAAGTGCGCTCAGCGAGGCTTCATGACAATTTTAACATGTTGTTCTGCACACTGCAGGCATCAGAGCGTACAGTGGCACACCAGTCAGCCACACATGACAGGTAGCGAAGGAGACAAGAGCACATCTGCTATTCATAATTACACAAACTGCAGTAAATAAGGAATTGCACAACTGTTAAGGTGTTCTGACTGTAAGATAAAGCTTTTGTAAAGTAGCTCACATGCCACGCTGTAACTGGTTAAACTGGACAGCTTTTCCCTTTGGCTCGGAAGCGTGTTTGCTCATCATATCCTTTTGGTATTCTTTCGTTATGCAAGGATTGCTTATGTAGTATTTATCATAACTTTGTTTCTGGTTGCACTTTGTTTTATTTGGCACACAAACCTCTTAAAAGTCATTATGTTATCTAACATAGTCGTGATATTAAAATCTAAAATGTGTCACCCCCACCCTTTGGTGCTCCATACACCCCACAATACAACTGGCTACTGACACGTTTTTCTATTCTTAGAGCCTTACAAGTTTCATGGCTTTGAATGTAGGCTAAAGTTCGTCCTGAAAGCGGAAGGACAGGAAAGGCCATGCCATCTGTCCTGTTGAATTAATGTGGTCAGATGTTATGGTAACCCACACATTAAAAGTGAATTATTAACCAAGGCACATTGTATGTATCCATTGCTGAATGCATTTTCTTCCTCATGATACATTTGCAAAGCTGTTTTTTTCCCTGAAAAGTTGGAAGCTGGCATTGTTATCATCCATGGTTACCTGTTAGCAGTCTTTACCACTGCCTTTGTTTACTGCCACCTGTGATCAGTGGAATAGTGTCTAAGTGTTGGCTGGAATGTGAATTGCATCAGCCGTGTGCATGCGCGCCTGCACATGCGGAGCACATGCGTTTCCATTTGTATGCATGCAAGCGAGCACAACAATAACCCACACATTGCGCAATAGCATTAATAATCAAACTTTTCAATATCCAATCAAACTTCGAGACAGTTGAGCTGAAGCCCAGATTAGACCAAAGATTTGAGAGAAGTTGAAACAGGCAGCTCCAATGCTGTTCTGTGCTGTTCTGAAAACCTGCCAGTTCACACCAGCGTAACAAGATGAGACAATGTATCATCGCTATTCAACAACTCTATGTTCTTCCGCTCTGATTTGCAGCTTTTCAGGTTTATTTTGTGGCTGAATATAATTTGTAGCGTCTTAGAATATGAATGAGGATAGTGATAGTGAGATACTGGCTACAGCTGCATCTGTAGTAGTGATGAAATGGCGCAAAGCAGAAACACAACGAGCATCAGATGGACTGTATTCTAGGGCTTTTTAACATTCGGACCTTCGGTAGAATTTATAACAAATATTCAAATATTCGTTCATGGCAGGGGGTGGGGGGGTAATAATGAATATAATATAATGTCTATAGCCTTAATGTTGTGTACAGCCTTATAGACTGAGCTGAATAGTGATGTGCGGATCGACCTGTAACCTGCGGGACCCGAAAATGGACCTGCGGGTCGGGCAGCAGTGGTCGTCTGTTAAATCGGTCTGTTGATATTTTGACATTATTGGCTATTACTGTCATGGCATCCAAAGGTACTGATGCATTGAGCAGGTGACAGTCCCCGGTCGTTATCAAAACACACTTGTGCCACGCACTCCAAAAGAAACTTGTTGAAACTTTAAACAATAATTTATTGTACAAAACGGGGGAAACAAACGTTGACAAAAACGGTTCCATAATTCATATTAGATTCAAAAGATAACAAAAAAACAGCTACAAGTTAGAGGGAATAGTGATAAAGTGGTAAAACTTGGCATTGATCCACAGCCTCAAGCGTGCCGTGCACACAAGCTCAGCTGGTAGGCTATACTATATTTTCAGATTTTTAACAATGCAATTTAAAAGTTTTGATTTTTATTGATAACCTACATTTACCAAGAACAAAAAGACTACATTTGGCACAAAAAAAAAATAAAAATTTATAAAAAAGAGTAAAAGTAAATAAAAAAACAAATACCAAATTTTCATAACAAATACCTACCCATAGAAACGAATATTCGAATATTTTGGTACAGCCCTACTGTATTCATAATAAATACGCCACAATAATACAAATAACCGGCGCCAGTTAATCAGTGAATGAGAATGTGTGTATGGGCGGGGCAGAGGCACATACAGTGCACCTGCCAGCAAGTGAACACACCGTCTGGACTTCACCTTAAGCCGACTGGCTGTTGAAACAGGTGACATGCTTAACCTTATAAAACCAGCCGTTGGCGATTTTACCAGCTGAGTTGCAGATGACATCATCAGCCGGCTTGAGCTCACACCGCTGCGACTTTTCTCTGCAGCGTTCTAAAACGGTTTCATCTCGTTGTGAATCTTTGGTCTGACCTGGGCTTAACAGTATCTCACATTGTGTTAAATGAACTACCCGACTGACATTAGCATCCAGTAATAACCGCAAAGCACGCGTGTTGTCTTGGTGTTAGAGTCTTAATGAACATGTTTCTGTGTGTTTTGTATTCAGGTTGATTTTAGAGAAAGAAGGACCGCGCTCTCTCTTCAGGGGCTTGGGGCCAAACTTGGTGGGTGTGGCACCTTCCAGGTAAGCTGTCTTCTGTCACCTGTAATTGTCATCTTTATTATATCCTCAGCAATGTGTACCTCCTTGAGTATGTATTGAGAGACTATGAAGCTATTAATTTTGTCTTATAGTAAAGATACTCTTTAAAGATACTCTGAATAAGGCAAACACCACGGCACACAACCACACGTGACACATAAACAATTTGTAACACTAATAATTATACATTTACAAACATACACTGCTGATTGGCATTCTGGGTAGTATATAAAGCAAGCTAGCTGGCCAGGTAGCATAACCTAACACCGTGGCAGCAGCTGGGAGACCCTCTGTGGCTACGGTAGCCTACATTCATAATCATAAAAGAAGGATGGAGGATGAAGAAAGAGACCAAAATGATTTGAGGGACACCAGAAGAACATGTGCCCAAGTGAGGAGCTGTGTTTGCTGTTTGGAAGCTTTTTTGGTTTTAAAAAACCCGCCATACTTGCATATGAAGAGAAAAAGAAAACACTTGAAAATTAACATTAGCCTGCAGCTGCACTTTTCCACTGGAGCTGGAGATAATTAAGAAACAACAGAACTGGAAAGTCCTCCTGGTTCCCTGACATCACTGGTGTGGCAACATTTTGTCCTCCCCGTGAGTGATGTGACTAACAAACATGTCACGTACAGAAAAATTACAGTCTGCAGGTTACGCTAAGTCAAAGTGAAAATTGCTTTCAGCAGGTGAGAAAACTTTCGTGGCTGCTGGGTTTTGTGTTTTAACAGTTTCCTCAGTGACTGGTGGAGGTAAGGAGGTGATGGGGTACAACAATAAAAATAAAAATAAAAAAGCAACCTGCCAGACGCTTTCTGTGTGATCAGGGCCTTAGACTGCAGTCCTCATTACACACCTGAAAACAGCTTTCTTAGCTTCATTCAGCCTTAAATGTACTCCAGTCACAGCTGTGCTTTGAGGGGTATGTTAACATGCCTGTAATTGCTGTGTCAACAAGCATGTTAGATATTGAAAATCAGCTTGTTGGCATGTCACATTTAGCAGGAAAACAGACAGCATTGACTGTGACACATCTTTTTCGCAACAGACATCTTAGCATAGCAGGGAAGGCCCAGGTATAATCAGTAACATGACATGGCTACATTCCATTTAGGTTAGCCATTTCTGCAGTCCTGGTGTTGTGCATGCACTCTGGCTGACACGGCTTAAGCCTAGTTCACATTACACGATTTTCACCGCAATTTTGACGTCACAGAGGATCTTGAGAGGCACATTGGGTCGGAGGTAAGTCGGCAGATAGTCTACCACGACGAGTCCTCATGTGTGAACAAGCCTACGAGCAAGTTGCCCCCTCGTCTGTGACTAGGACTGGATATCTGGCATGCTAGAAAACTGAAGAAGTGTGACACGACTGACAAAGAGCATCAGCCAGTGAGAGGCGGGATACGTCCCACGTCAGCACGCAGGAGGCCGAAAGAAATGGGAGGAGGACAAGCCGCAGGGTTGCCACTTCCCAGGTCTGCTTATTAGCCGCGACTTTGGGCTTGCTTCTAAAGTGGAGCTGCTTATTTGGGCTTGCTCTCTAAACGTCACCTTCCTCTATATATATCCGTCTAATAAGTTATTTAAACACATGATAGTCACTTTCTTTGGGCTTGTTTCCATAGCCCTGGTTGCTTGTTTCTCTCCCAAGATCTGGCAACACTGACAAGCTGGCAAGCAACAACAACAATGGCGGCGTCCACAGGATCACGGGGAGCGCGTTGTGTTTGGACCCAGGATAATAAAGAATATCCATGCCTTTACGATGTGTCGTCTCCAAGTTAAAAAACGTAGTTTGGTGATGTCACCATGTTATCTGGGCTCTGTCGGCGAGGGCTTGGTGGATAAGTCTTGTGGTGTGCACACACAGGTTGTAACGCAGTTGGCGAGACTCCCGCTGACAGCACGTCGCCAGGTATGAACACTCAAAAGATTACGATAGTCTCCGCGACGTAAAATCAGGGTGAAAATCTTGTAATGTGAACTAGGCTTTAGTGTGGGTTACTTGGCCATTTGGTAATGTTATCAATTACACCTGTGCTTGTTCTGCTATGACAAGTCAAAATGTGTGTTGTGGAAAAAAGATTTACTGGCAGAGTGGCGACCTTGGGAGGGAAACAGATGAATATTTCATGAAAAAGTAAAAACAACTGAAACGTCCGGTGCACCACATGGCGTACTGAACAGCCAGTAGTGTTTAAATGTTCACATTAATGTATGTATACTTCGATTTATCAGTCTCACGGCTTTGATATCAGCTGTTTTTATTCTACAATAGCTGATTCGGACACATTTTATGCACACTGACATCAGCTCAGAACTATTTCTAGGTGAGTTGTGGACACATGGGCTGTTTTTCAGTGAGACATCACAGTTAGAAACAGTGGTGTTATGTAACCACCGCAGGCCTCCTTGATGTTACATGGCGACAAAGAAGCATCAGGGATACACGGTCATTTCGGTCTCATTCATCTTCATGGCTTTCTTAGCAGCGTCTGCACTGAAACATGGCAACAGCAACAGCATTTCGAAAAGTCTCTGTCTTGGAAATCCTGTAATCGGCAGCAGTTAGGTAATAACATAAAGGGTAATGATCATTAATCACCCTCAGTGGTGATGATGGGAGCAAAGTGGGTGCTAATGGCAGCGGGCAGGTGCCAGTGCTAAGCATACGTAGAGTGTTTTTAGTGTCTTACATGAATGAATGCTGATGCAGTGGGGCAGTGGAGGTGAAGGCAATGATGCTTCCTGAGCTGTGACGCAGATTAAATGATGCTGTAAGACAGCGCACAAACGCTGTCTTACAGTTTGATGCTTTAAACATCATTAACAGTCTGACTAAGCTCATTTGACAAATGATCGTACAAATGAGCCCGACTGCACATCGTGTTGTTAGGAGGAGAAGAAGTACAGTGTTTAGACATGAACATGATCGCATGACCTTCTTTAATTAGTGGAAACACGATAATTAGTGAAAATAAATGGAGACGTGCTTTTTATACCGAACAGCCTCTTTGACTAAACAGGCTGATTTGCTGAGACGCTTGGTTCTGCTCTCAGCTTTACACTTAATTAATTTTTAAAGCTCATTAAGCTGAACCTGATATGGAGACAGTTTCACTTGTTGATGTAATGTAATTAATCAGCTGCATTGCTACCAGAGGCAAATAGTTGGCCAGGATTAATGATCTTTACACTGAAACACAGAAAAACATGGCGTGTATAAGCTGTTTTGTCGTGTACTGGTGTAACATACACTCACCTTTGTGTGTTTTACTTCCAACAGAGCGATCTACTTTGCTGCTTACTCCACTGCCAAAGAGAAACTGAACGCTGTGTTGGAACCTGACTCCACACAGGTACACATGGTGTCAGCTGGAATGGCAGGTAATTATGTATGTGAGGTAACAGGTTGATGTTTGCTGCCGTGTAATGCTTCTTAACATACTGTAATGATTCGACCATTTCAGGCATGCCTGTGAGAAAAACTGTGTAACTTGCGTACTGTGGGGCTGCTGCTTTTGCTGTACTTTGATCCTTCTGAAGGGAGTAAGCTGTGGTAAACTAGATTGTGTTACTTGACTTTAACAATCTACAACCACAATTCCAAATAACGTTGGAAAGCTGTGTACGTTGGAAATAAAAACAGAATGCAGTGATGTGACAAAACGTTTTGACCTATATTAAATTGAAAACACAACAAAGACAAGATATTTGATGTTCAAACTGATAAACTTTATTGTTCTTTGGTAAAACGCTCATTCTGAATTTGATGCCTGCAAAATGTTCCAAAAAGGTCAGGATAGGGGCAACAAGAGACTGGGGGGGTTGTGGAGTGCTCAAAAAACACCTGTTGGAACATTTCACATTTAATTGGTGCATCCTCAAAAGTCCCAGCTGTTTGCAAACAGGGATTGTCACTTGGTGAAAAACTGTGTGGGCAAATAGTCCAGCAGTTCAAGAACAATGTCTCAATACATAGTTCCAAGGAATTTAGGATTTCACTATTTACAAGCCATAATACCGTCAAAAGATTCAGAGAATCCGGAGAAATCTCTGCACGTGAGGGGCAAAGCTGAAAACAAACACTGAATGCTCGAAACCTTTGATCCCTCGGGCTGCACTGTATTGAAAACAAACATGATTGCAGAAAAAATATTACTACATGGGTTAAGGAACACTTTGGGAAACCATTGTCAGTAAAGAGTTCTTTGCTTCATCTGTAAATGCCAGTTAAGACTCTACAGTGCAAAGTGAACGCCATATATCACCAACATTCAAAAAGGCCATTAACTTCTCTGGAGCTGAGCTCATCTGAGATGGACTGACACAAAGTGGAAAAGTGTGCTGCAGTCTGACGAATCCACATTTCAGATTTTTTGGTTTTGGAAATCATGGACATTATGTCGTCTGTCTTAAAAACGAAAAGGACCATCCAGATTGTTAGATTGCATCTGTGATAATATGTGGGTGGGTTTGTGCCCATGGTATCATGGTAACTTGTACATCTGTGAAGGCTCCATGAATGATGAAAGGTACATACAGGTTTTTGGAGCAACATATGCTGCCATCCAGTCAGCGTCTTTTTCAGGGACGTCCTTGCTTATTCCAGCAAGATGATGACAAGCCACATTCTGCATGTGTCTCACTCTTCGTAGTAAAAGAGCGCAGGTACTAGACTGACCTGCCTGCAGTCAGACCTGTCTCCCATTGAAAATAGTTGGCGCAAAATACAACAACGGAAACCCCAGACTGTTGAGCAACTGAAGTCGTATATCAGTCAAATATCTTGTCTTCGTACTATATTCAATTAAATATAGGTCAAAAAGGATTTGCAAATCATTGCATTCTGTTTTTATGTACATTCTTCACAGTGTCCCGACCTTATTGGAACTGAGGCTGTAATCGCTCCTCTCGTGCACATGGGAGAAGTTTGCTTGAAATCTGTTCATTTTAACCTGAACCACGGCCTTTTCCTTACCTTAATCAAAAAATACCTGTTGGGGAGAAAGTCCTTTAGGCAAATTTCTCCCAACTGCCCCTTCATGAGGACCCTGTTTATTCAGGAACAAGCTTATCATCTTTCCTTCACCTTCTGTCCAGATATAAGACCAACTCAGCAATCTTTAAACAGCTTAACTAAAAATGTACCATGTCAAAAGGCCAGATGTGAGTACAGTATCATTATTCTCTAATGTTCTGTATGTCAGGGGTTTATTAACGGCTCAGGTGTCACTGTGATCCAGCTGGGAATGGCGAGCCGTAACAATGTGGGTCAGTTAGACAGCTACAGCGTGTGTGTGTGTGTATATAGGGGTCAATCTGACAGGTTCACAGTGGCGCCACTTTTAGCTCACCATGACTCAGACTTTTCAACAACCCGGTCAAGGTCAGCTTTGTCAGTACATATCTCTCCAGTGGCAGTCCACATGTTCTGCAGACCTGACTGAGCTGAACTGACAGGTGATAAGGAGTTGACAGCATGGCGATTATTCTGGTCTGTGCAGTGATACATGATACCTACAGCAGAGGTTAACGCTGGCTTGTGCTGTGGCTGACAATGGATGTCCACTTAGAAAGATGAACCCAAGCTGAAACAGGTGAAGTGTAGATATTAGTGTTAGAACATCAAGGCCTTTACACACCAGACATTTTTTTCTTCTTCGTGCAATTAATTTGCGTGTCAGTATACTCTTTCGTTTACTTTTTTTTTGGTCACAAATACCTCAACAGGAAGTGCAAATATCATCATCACATTTTGCAAAATAGACGTCACGTCACACAATGTCACAACAATGTCGGACCTGCAACTGTCGTAAATTTTCATCAGTGCCATTTGTTTTGCAGGCAAGTATTTCGCATTTCCATGACATGTATTCGTCATGCCCCTGGGGTCTCATATATAAAACAAAGCGTAGGATCCATACTAAAAATGTGCGTATGGACCAAAGCCAAAAATGGCGTGCAGTCCAAACATATTTGACAGTTTCTACCATCAGACTTCCACCCTACCATCTGCGTTGCCAATATCCGTCTCCAAAATGTTCGTAAACATCAGTCAAAGTTTCTCCCATCGAGTCTGTTTTTATAGATCACAACTTTTGCGCAGGAAATGGCATTCGCCTCTTTCAGGCCTTGTTTTGTGCAAGTGAAATATTTATAAATGAGACTCCTCTTGTGTAAAGGCTTTACCAGTATATTTGCAGGCCAGTTTTTCTCAGCAAATATTATTGTCATAGTTCCTAAATGACCAAATTTGCATAATCCAATAATGTAAAGATACATCATTACAAGTAAAAGTCCCACATTCAGAATTCTACTTAAAAGTACAGACGCATTATCAGTAAAATGAACTTACAAGTATCCAAAATAAATGTACCTATACAACAGAAAACTGACCCCTGATAATTTTAGCTACTATACAGTTAAGTAGAGTAGTGTAGTGGGTCCCAATCTAGGGGTCGGGCCCTTCCAAAGGATCGCATGAAATGTCTGAGTGAGACGATTAATGGGAGAGGAAATAAGAAAAAATTTATTTCTGATACTGAATTTGGTTTTCAGTTTTTGGACTTTTCTCTGATCGTTAAAATGGATCATTTGAACAGCTTTATAAACTGGAACTGCTAACAGCTCATGGACCTTTGTAACATGACATGGAGCTACAACTACACACTGGGTCACACAACAAAAAGTATGTAAATCACTGGTTTAAACAATGTGATGGGTTTTATAAGCTCATCCCATGTTGTTTCATGTAAAATCCAAATATAGAAATCAACCAGTCACCATAGCTGTCAAATCAGTATATAAAATGTACAATATTTGAACTGTGAAATGTTGTATAAGTAGAAAGAAGTATAAATAAGAACATTCAAGGACAAGTTCCTCAAAACTGTAAACATGCTCACTTTTCACCCCAGTACTTTTCCGCCCGAAAAATCCAGTTTTCATCAGGTTGTAATTTGCATACACGTCCAAAGCAAGCCTCAAACCCTGGTGATGAGTTTTATAATGTCAGGGGATTTTCTCAGGAGGTTGGTTTATGCTGTGTGAAATCCTGTGGGAAAGTGGTGGAATGGGAAGTAAAATGGTTGCATGCCAATCATTTTGCCACACACAAGCCTGTGTCTGTTTTAGGCTTTAACTCTACCGTAGCTCCCCCGCTCGCAGGGGCATGAGACCCTCGCACCACCAGGGGTCTCTAGCTACATCTGTGAGGAGTTACTTGGGTCTGCGTGAGTACTCACCACAGATCTGTGCTTCTTCTTATAGCTGGTTCTTCTCTTTCTCTCTCTCTCTCGCATCTATGTCCTCTGCTCCCTTACTATCTAGGTCATTGAATAAGAAGCATGTTTTTGTTACAGCTGTTTGCATGACATTGAATTTTTATGGCATTCAGTTGCTCCCTTAGTAGCACACAGAGGATAGTCTGTACAGAGATTAGATTATCTCCAGAAGCTGCCTTTGTGACTTAACATTTTGTTTATTAAAGGAACTTTTTAGTCTTAACTTAACCGCCATGAATGCAGCATAAAGAACATTATGTCTTCATCATGATGTTAGTTTGTGGACTGTTTGTTTTACCGCTGGCAGCTTGACTTGTAGGCTGTCAGTGGTATCTTTCGATTTTTAGCAAAGTGTAATCCTGTTGTTTTGTTTTCCTCCACAGGTTTTACAGCCATCACAGCAACCAATCCAATATGGCTCATAAAGACCCGTCTCCAGCTGGATGCAAGGTAAATATGACACCAGGCTGTGAGTTTAGGCCTACTTGATACTTTTATATTCCAGCCCATCTCATAGAAAATACCAAGATATATATCATGTGTTACCATTCAGCTGGAAAATACCAAGATCTTCCGACAAGTTACTTGCTTGTTTACAGGTTCCTGTTTGTCCTGTGTTAGGTAATTTTGTCCCTCAGAGCCTACTGTACTTTATTGTACATCAAGTCCCAAAGGATGACATTACCAAACACAGAAGGGGATCTGATAACAGTGACTCTGATGTTAATTACATGAAGACCGCGAGGAATTGATTGTAGATAATCACACGTGTAAGCCAAGCTGCTGATGTATGTCCTTGTGTGTGCCCTTCTCCTACAAGAGCACAGCTCCTCATACACACTAGTGTTTTCAGCGCAAACAGTAGGCAGGAGCAGAAACTGGTTCTGCAAGTGCGCTAATGTATTTCAGGAGTCAGTCTTTACCTTAGCTTTCATGACTTGACATTCATCTGCATTGTTATCCCCACCTGGAGAGGATCATGCCTTCAGGCGTGTGTCTGTCTCTCAGCAGCTAATCTCACACACTACTGGACCCATCAGCCTAATAATATTTTGTATACGTTTATGACTGCATGCTCAAGGACCTCTTGTGGTTGCGGTGATTCACAATTCTTGAAAAGAAAAACACTTTAATTGACTGTTTAATATCAACATTGACTGCTGACTCCTCATCCATCTGAACTGTCAGGGCAGAAAGTCATCAACAAAGTCACCTAGCAAAAGGCATTTCTGGCAGTCAGCTATGCTAAAGACAAGCCTTACTGAGCCTTTGCCATGGCTCAAAAACTGACATTAAAAGAAAATGTTTGGTCATATTTTGACCTGAAGCATCTGCAGGTTAATTCCGTTCCTGACATGTTATGATCCACTATAGTAAGGAAGGATATGAGATGTATAAATCCCCATTTTTGTTATCGTCACAGCAATCTTGACTTTTAGAAAGCAAGAAGGGACAGCTGAGTGAGAGTCAACTCTGTTTGGGAGGGAATAGGGATGTAGGAAGGGGTTTTAACGAACATTATGTCCGAGATTTGTGTCCATATAGTCAGTCTCCATATGTCTACCTTGGTTTCACCTTGATAATGTAAAGACCCAGACACACCAAAACCGAGTTCAGAGAACTAGTGGAATCGAAGGCCCCCTTCTGCGTTTCCTGATGTTGCCTTGTGTTGGCTAAAGAGTTGTACATGAACACACCGCAAAGACTACAGTGACAGCCAACCAGCACATACGTTCTGCATGAGAGGAAATAACTCTTCACACCAGCAGATGGTGGTCATCTGTAATTATCATTCAAAAAGGGAAACCATAAGACTGTCTGGATGCTAGTTAGCCAGTTAGCACATTAACAACACAATCCAGTGTGCAAAGAACAAAGCCTACTGTGCCCAAGTGAACAGTAACAGAAGTCATCATGAAATGTCTCTGCTAAAGAGCTCAATGGCTAAAGAAAAATAATCTTACCTTATGTAACAAGTTTGTTTTGGTCTCACTCCCTCTTTAGTTGTTTGTTTACTTTCCTCACTTCCATGACTGTTCTTGTTCACTGAGCTGAACTGACAATGACTGCTGCAATGAAAGCTGACGGGGGCCAATGAGGGGCATCAGTGCGGAACTCACTGCTCCAACTAGAACAGCCTGACGTTGACCGATGGACGACCGCCAGCTTAGTGTGTCAGGGCCTTAACCTGCGTATTGTCTCCCCTTCATTCCACCACTGTCATTCAGACACACTGAACACACAACCTGCCCTGTACTCCCTATGCCCCACCCACATTCCCCCATACACACCTTGTGGAGATCTACACTCTACTAGGTACACATTTCTTGATGTTATTGTGTTTAGGTGTTTCTGTCTGTAAGCTATCCCTTTTAATTGTTACTTTAAAATAATGTATATATTCCCTGTCTTCTCTCAGGAATCGAGGTGAGCAAAGGATGAGTGCGTTTGAGTGTGTGCGGCGGGTGTATCAGACAGATGGCCTGCGAGGCTTCTACAGGGGTATGTCTGCATCCTACGCCGGTATCTCAGAGACTGTGATCCATTTTGTGATCTATGAAAACATCAAACGGCGCCTCTTGGAGGCCAAGGCACCGCAGAATATGGACGAGGAAGAGGAGACGTCCAAAGATGCTACAGACTTTATAGGGATGATGCTCGCTGCTGCCACCTCCAAGACCTGTGCCACGACTATTGCTTATCCTCATGGTAAGAGTTTGGGCTTAGCAATTAGCTGATAATGGCTGATTTTGGACTCCTTCAAAGAGTGGGTCCATGTGCATTCTTTTGTAGCCTACTGCTGTGGATGCTGTGTTAGTTCAGTTTCAGAAGTCGCACAATCACACAAAAGTAATAGATCAGAGGTAGTAGAAAACTAGTAACTTCTCATCTTATGCAAAACTTGAGGCTTTGGACAGGGGCAGCAGCACATGTATTTTTGCCTCCTAAAATAAAGGGCCACCTAAAAAAATCTATCAGTGTAAGTGTATATGCTGTATTTAGATCATTTTACCACTTCACCTTGCCATCAGACTGCCCTCTCTGACGGGAAACTGAAGTCATTATATCCCCCTCTCCACCAGACTCTAATGATGGAAACAGTAATTCAGACAGGAACACTTTAGTTAAAGAAAACTTTAATTCCATTTGCAGTATTATATTTGGCGGTATGGCTCTGTTCTGGGGCCTCTCTGCCTTTCCATGTGCAAACGAGGAAAGCCTGAGGCAGGGAAAGCAAACCTCCCTGTCCTTCTATGTGCCTACATGGAAAGTCTAAGGCAGAGAGAGCACACCTCTCTGCCCTTCCATGTGCAAACGAGGAAAGCCTGAGGCAGGGAAAGCAAACCTCCCTGTCCTTCTATGTGCCTACATGGAAAGTCTAAGGCAGAGAGAGCACACCTCTCTGCCCTTCCATGTGCAAACGAGGAAAGCCTGAGGCAGGGAAAGCAAACCTCCCTGTCCTTCCATGCGCCTACATGGAAAGCCTAAGGCGAGAGGAGAGCAGCAGCAAAAAAAAAAAAAACCCAGATGAAGCAGCAACAGTAGGCAGGCCAGAGCAGTTTAAATAGGGCGCCCTGAATGAGATCGACCAATTGGTTGCATAGAAAGGAATCATGTGATCTATCAGCTGACTCCCTTCCATCCATCAGCTGCTCCATCAGTTGATTGGGCTGTTTGGGATCAGCTGATGTAGCTGGGATGTGAGCTGAGCTTGACATCATGTCCTGCCTGAACTAACGCTATGCTTAGTTTTTACCTCGGTGGTCGCCACCAACTCTTATCATTTAGTCTGTTTGTGTCTTCCAGAGTTGAACAAACATGGCATCCACAGCAGAACGTGGCTTTATATGTAGCAGCATCATTATGCAGAATGCTACGCCAGTGGGAAAAAGCATTCTGATGCTAAAACACACATTGACCAAAACTCGATTTTTTGCCTTTGAATGCACAAGGAACACTACTGGAAAGCTACAGATGGATATAAGAATAATGGAGCCGCCCTTTAATCTTTCTTTTTCTCCATGTCTTTGCAGAAGTGATCCGCACCAGGCTACGCGAGGAGGGCACCAAGTACAAGTCTTTCTTCCAGACTCTAACAACAGTGCCCAAAGAGGAGGGCTACCGCGCCCTGTACCGCGGCCTCACCACCCACCTGGTACGACAGATCCCCAACACCGCCATCATGATGTGCACCTACGAGCTGGTGGTCTACCTCCTTAACCGTTAAAGTCTTTCCCCCCTACCCGGGGACAGTGTGTGTAACCCTGCCCCTGTTCGGAGACAGAGAAAAGAGAGCCAACTGCACACCAGCCAGAACAGCAACCTGCTCGTCAGAAGAGGACAGAGACAACACCGTGACCTTTGTCTCAGTGACGCAAGTGGTTGTTAAAAATAAGTTTTGTTTTATAACCGTAGGGTCTGGCATAGTGGAGAGGATCGAGAAGCTCCTCGCATTGGTTTGGGGATCTGGGTTTAGCAGTGGCAAAGAAACGGTTACCCTATTTTTATTTTAATTCCATCCTTTTCTCCCTTCGGTTAAACGCGTTGCTTCTGGAAGCTCCGACTCAGAGTGCTGAAGAAAGAGTTACAGTATATTCTGCCTCTAACAATACTAATATGGAAAGACAAGTACAGTGATTCATATCCTTACCACCTAGTGGATCTAAGACCCCCCTCCAGCAGTAGGCTGTCATGCCGATGATCGGTTTTTAAAAATATTTTATTAGCAGTATTCCCTGCATCCATTAGAGTACCACCAGAGGATCGGAATACAAAGATGGAAGAGTCTGTAGCGAGCTGAAGTATCTGACGAGGGGCTCTCAAGTTAGCAGAGAAGAAATGAGTGCTCGAGGCTTGTTGAGGCAGGATAAACAGGGAAGAGGTGGAGATTGGGAGGAACGGGAACGGGAGACGTGCCTTGTTTGTAGCCGTGATGTAGACAAAGATGCACAATGGCTGTGGGAGGACGCGAAGCTCTGGTTGACCTGTCACAACAAAGGTTATATAGGTTAGAAGCAGAGTCGTACACTGGTATTGTGTGATTACAGGTGCCCTTAGCGAACCTTTTTACATATCATGAATATAGACACTCGCCTAATGCTTGTCCCTCATACTAGTCGGGATCTCCTCATGATGCAGGAATCGACATGCATCTACAGGCGTGCATTTACACTAAATACCTACACGGTTAAAATCAGCTTGCTTATTATAAGTCTGCGTAATGACACCGACCTTGGAACCTGTTTGTGTTTGTGTTAATCATGTGTGGAAGAAGAGTAGTCACTAAGGTTAGATGGAGGGTAAAAAGTCCCCAAACTAAACCAGAATATAATCACCAATTTAACTACTGGAATGTAAATTAACAGGAAGATTAACTTCACTAATGACGAAGGTAAAACACTGACCTATGGCGTGAATTATAAATAAATATGATTAACAAATTTTAACAAAATGTTTCATTGATGGAGATGTACAATACCTACATAAAAGGCTTGGGAGGTATCTATTTATTATTCATTCCTGACATTTAACGGGGGTATACAGTATATGAATAAATGTAGAGGAGCATCGGTATTTTTGACGGTATTGAAAATTATATCTTGAGGATTTCTAAATACCCTGGTGTACCGTGATACCTTGATAGCTCCTGAGGCCCTGATCACACAGAAAGTGTTTTAGCAGTCGGGGGCGCCTTTTTGTGATTGTTTTTAATGAGAATCTTCAACTCACAGCGAAAAAACGCCCCGTGTCATCTTTTTTCTTATTGTCCAATCGTATGATGTGAGAGGCGGGCCTTCTGTGGTAGTCACAACAACAAGTTTACAGTTAGGAAACAATGGAGGAGAAACTGGTGGGAGCAGTTGCTGGAAACCCAGAGCTATACGGCCCAATGACAGACAGCAGGTTGTCAAACTGCCCCTGAGTCATCCCAAAATATGCCTAAAAATGGCCATCATGGAGGAGAAGCTCCTGGACCAACTGGTGGTACTCCCCATGACCAACCCTCTTTTTTAGGGTCTCATGTACCCACACAGATCTCTGTTTATCTGTGCCCAAAGAACGATTTGCTGACAGCCTCTCACCCTCAACCAGAGCTACAGCAAGTACCCTCTGCCTCAACATTTTAGGAACTAGATGCTAATTACTGTCAAATAAATAAACGGTAGCTTGATTTCATGGGAAGGTTAGAGTAATAGAATAAAAAGGCACAGCAAGCATTTTTTCCCACTAGTGGCATTCAATTTTTTTTAAAAATGCCAATGCGGCATGCCACTTTGCAACCTGCAAAACGCTTCCTGTGTGATCGGGGCCTGAGTCTACTACAGAACGTGATTATGTCACATTTGTTTGTCCAGAAACGGCAGAACGCAAAGATTGAGTGCATTTTCTTTGGGGGAGAGGGGGATATGCCTGTTAGTTGTTACCTTTGTTCAAACAACAGTCATGTTCTTAGCGCACTTTTCAATGTCAGTCTCTAGAATCCTCATCTCATTTTTATTGTTTTCCTCAGTTGGAGAATCCAGGCTAGTTTTACAGGCGAGGACAATCCTCGAGTTTACTCTGGAAAGTTGTACAGTTTAGCTAGTGTGTGGAGCAAGTGGCCAGGAATATGCTCATCATAAGTGCACATTAATTCAACACAGATCCGTTTAAAAAAACAAGAAGAAAAGAAAGAACGGCCACTGTTTTGTTGATTTCCTCTCCTTATTTAGTTGTTTTTGCAAACAAAATAACTGCATTTTATCCAGTTAAAAAACAAAACGGCTTTTTGTTTGTCAGTGTTTTCTGTACAGTTGGATGTCCTTGTTGAATGGAAAGGTACTTGCTCTCTGCTTTGGATGCATTTGTTTTTGAGTTTTATGTCATGTTTCAAACAGTGCAACAGACAAAAACACTGTTTTCCTGTCACCTTATTTATCCTAATAACCACAGACATACTTCCCCTCTCTAGTCACATGACACAATAACCCAGCCTGTTGATGAGCGTGTGCATTTTCACCACAAACTTGCAAACTAAAACAACACGGCTTAGCCCAGAATGCTAACACATGATCTTAGGTTTAACAGCATGAGCTGTTGCCGTTATCCTGCGGTGTATTTTGACTCACGGCGACAACCAATCCAAACACTGCACTGCTTAATAGGTCAGAGCGCTGGTGTGCAGCAGTGAGCGTACTGCCCGGCTGCTGTGGAATAAAAGGGGCAGTTTTTCGGCGAAATATGCAGCTCGACTATGCTCGCTTTCTCGTGAGGCGCCGTTGTACTTGAGATTGCAGAAACCGCTTCAGTGTGTGACCCCCACCCCGAACACCCTCAGATGCTTTTCTCCACTGGAATTATTGATGTGATCCTCAATGTGAACACTTTCAGTTTTACAGCACATATATGAAGGATGCATTAGATTAGCCTCATTGTGCAAATCTTAGCGGAGATGTATTACGGCTTACACACGGTACCATCAACACACACTTGATGTGGTGAGACGGGAGCGCATGGGTGCTGCTGGTAGTGACTGGTAGTCTATGCAGATAGTGTGAGCTGATGGTACTTATCTGGTTAAAGGGTCAGTTCACTCAAATTCACCCCCAAAAAATATATATATATTTGGGTGAAATGAGCCTTTAACTGTTCAGTTAAATGCATCTCTGTCACTTGTATCAGTGTCTGTCATATGATGCATTATTTCCTACATCTCATGGTTATGCTTTTGTACCCATATGTTTGCATCGTGTGTGTGTGTGTGCGCGTGTGTGTGTGTGTGTGGCGTGTGCTTGCCTAAATGACAATCGTATGTCATTCAGTGGTGTCTTGTGTGTGAGACCATACGAGTATGTTTGTACTCAGAAGAATAGCTGCAAACAGTGTTGTTTTTATCTTTTTAAATAAATTGTTGCCTTTTCCTGACGCCCTTTGTTTTATTTTTGGTTTGTTTTTGTTTTTTATGTTGTCATCGATGAGCCCACTGTGAGTGCAGCTCGGCCTATGCATTCTCTTATATCTGTTTTTGTAAAACAAAAAGCCAATAAAATGTAAAGTGCAAGTATATTTAAGTGTCAGGAACTTTTACTGAGAACATAAAACTCTTGTCACTTGGTGGTTGATGTCAGTTTTTTTTTTTAACAGTGCAGCACAATCCTGAAATTAAACTTTTCAGTTTCCAGCATTCTTGTGACTTGTACCCCGCCAAGTACCCTCCAACCTTTGACGCACCCCTCAAACTCCCACCAGAGCAGCCCATCAGACTTGCACTTACGTTAAACGCTGTCAGCATGGAGATGAGGTGTCCACCAGCAGCCGCACCCCATCATGTGCGCCCCTCTCAGGCTCTGGCGGGTCAGAGGAGGGAGAGAAGAGGAAGCACCGGGTGCCGTAATCCTCGAGTACCATAAAACGAGCCTCATAACTCTCTCTGATGCCCTGTCTGACAGAGCTAGGTTGAATGACTGATACATAATAAATGTGTTATTTACACAAGCTCTACACACGTAATATTTATACTGGTTCAAATAAATAATATGATCATATTACCCCATCTTTGCTGAGCAACAGTTTAGTGTGAAAGGAGTTAAAGGCCTGAGTTCAGTGATTATGCAAATACTAGCCTGGGCTACTAATTGAAGTTTTACGGTAGTTTATGACTTGTTCAAGCATTGTTCAGTGTGCAGTATGGAACGCTCTGTGATTTTGGCATATTTATTTTTAAAACACAATTGGAATTGCAAGCTTTTGAATTGGATTTGGCTGTGGTTACCATGGAAACCACCAGAGCATCTGTCAAACTTCTCTGACTCTGACCTCTGTGAAGACATCTACTAACCTGCAGGAGTTCATTAAACTTCATTCACACATTAACGGTAAGGAAAAACAAGCTTTCTTCATCTGTTTCATTTGTATATGATGGTCTATAGTTTAGAGGACAGTATAAAAAAAACAACTTAAATCCAACTTTCTTTGGCTGTTGGAGACTGACTGACAGATGTAGAGCTCAGGGACCAACCATCACTGTTTATTCATTTTACACCATGACCTCATGTTGGTATTTAGTGAAGTCAACTGATTAGTTTGTTGGTTCTGTAAACTGTTATAAGGTGGTATTGTGAAGTGGAGGCTCTTCTTTCTCTGCACAAGTAAACTTAGCCACAGTTAGAGTGTAGTATTGTACCCATATATATTTTCCAAATCCAGCATTAGTTCATGTTAAAGCTGCAGTTATTTAAAAGATGCACAACCTGACAACAGTGAGATACAAGGCCTCTGACTAATAGCACCTTGGTAGTAATCTTTTTGTGAAATCACTGTTTTCATGGTCAAGATTTTTTGATAAAAATATGTTCATTTATGTGTTTGGGCAATATGTTTTATTGTTCATTGCTGTTATTACAGATGGAGGACCATCTGTCAGAAGAGAACAGTGACACAAGCAGCAGTTTGAGTTCAGCAGCAGTGGTAAGTTACTTTATCTTTAAAGCCACTGTGTAGAATTTAATAATTCCCTAATATGACACACCTCAGTCACAGTAATGTGTCAACTGGTTGCTGAACATCTGGCGAACGCATTTAAAAATGTGAACACAAAGATACTACACTATAGTGACAGTATATAGCTAAGGGGAAGATGGATGTACATGATTATGCAGCCTAAATTATATTATTTGGTTTTATTATTTGTTTTATTATTTATTATTATTTATTTTATTGATTCTCATTATTTGAGATTTTGTGTTTTTTACGTGTAATTTTATGGTCATTGTGACGGATGTTGGTGACTGCATACTGTAACTCTAATATAACTTTGTTTTTATGCCTCTCATTCTCATGAAGGAGATATTTTAAGAAGGCTTTGAGGGAATTTCCTTAAATTTGGCACAAACGCCCATGTAGACTCACGAATAAACTAATTAGATTTTAGTGGTCAAAGGTCAAGGTCACGGTGACCTAAAAAAACCAACATGTTTTTAGCCATAACTTAAGAATCGATAATTCTAAAGAAGACAATGCACTGGCGCCACCTCGGTGCAGCACTTCAAGTGCGGCCCCTTGCACACACTGGAGGCATCGCACTGCAGCGCGTTCACAGATGACCATATGCAGTTATTACTACTTTAACTGAAAGATCAGTACCTCTTCAACCTCTGTGTTGACCGTCATTGTTCTGCAAAAACACTTTTCTGGCCAGTACTCAACGTCATGACTCGGGAACAGAAGGGGAGACATTTGGTCAGGTGCTGAATTGATGATACTAATCTAGAAACTTTGCTGACTGTATAGATCTTCTGTGCTGCCAGGTTCAAACTGTGTTGAAGTATGTAGCTTCTTTGGTGCAACATTCATATGTGAAGCACAGTCAGCTGCCGTGGTTACATATGAGTTTGGACAGACATGGATGTTAACTGCAACTTGACTGGTAATTCTAGTTTGTATTCAGTCAAATCCTCAGTTATTCATCACTAAACTTCAAACTAGGTTTAAGTTTGAATTTTAGACAAACCCAACTCCATCTTTCACCGCTGTAATGCCCAATTTCTTCTTGCGTTAGGACACCTCAGGCTATTTAATTAGAAATTTGGATTAACCATTTAATATCCCCTTGTGACTGTATCTCTTTCTTTGTCCATTTTTTGTTGTCATAGAAACACACCTGCAAAACCCTACATAGACCTTCAGGTGAGGGTGAGGAGAGTATTAATGGACAACAGCTGGCTCAACATCAGCCTCCCCGCACTGGAAAGAAACCACACTGCTGCGACCAGTGTGAGAAGAATTTCAGCAAATCAATCCACCTAAAGTTTCATCAGCGTATCCACACTGGTGAGAAGCCATACCTCTGTGACCAGTGTGGAAAGAGTTTTAGCTGGTCAGACAGTCTGAAGAAGCAC